GTTCGGCCCACCTCAGCCTCTGAAAGTGCTGCCATTTCAGATGTGAGCCACTGCACCCAGCCTGTATTTTGTATATTTAAATGATATATATTTTTATGATACTTAGCTTGAAGAGAGGTGTCGTTGAACTATTAATAGACAATATGGCCGGGCACAGTGGCTCGTGCCTGTAATCCCAGCACTTTGGAAGGTGGAAACAGGCAGATCACAAGATCAGGAGTTGGAGACGAGCCTGGCCAATTTGGTGAAACCCATCTCTACTAAAAATACAAAAATTAGCCAGGCGTGGTGGTGCATGTCTGTAGTCTCAGCTATTTGGGAGGCTCAGGCAGGAGAATTGCTTGAACCTGGGAGACGGAGGTTGCAGTGAGCCGAGATCACACCACTGCACTCCAGCCTGGGCAACAAGAGCGAGACTCGTCTCCCAACAAACAAAAAACAACAGGCTCACGCCTGTAATCCAAGCACTTTGGAGGCCAAGGCGGGCGGATCACCTGAGGTCAGGAGTTCAAGACCAGCCTGACCAACATGGTGAAATCCTGTCTTTTAAAAAAAAAAAAAAAAAAAAACCCCAACAAGAAAAAAAAATACATACCCTGTGGCTAACACATATCTCTATTATTGAGTACAACCTTTCACCAATATTTATGTTATCAATTCCTGACCAAAATACGTTATCAGAGGAATATTTCAGAGCTGTGTTAATTAGCATATCCAGTGTGATTAACAAATGTAATAGGATGTTATACAGGTTATATGCCTTTCACATTAAGCCTTTTTAACGCTGAACAGTATCTTATTTTGAAGATACTGAGTCTTTTATAACTGTTCTTAATTTCCTGTTATAATTTAAAATTAAATTTTAATCAAAAGGAAAAATGCCTCTATTTTCCAAATGTTTGAGGCTGCAGGTTTGTTCGCCACTAGTTAATTCAGTGGTATAGAAACTTTAGTTTAATTAAGGAGCCAAATAGAAAGAATTGCAAATGAAGAAGACTGCATCATTTTGTTGACAAGCTAGCTCTCATTATGCCCTTGTTATTGGCACGATGTTCAGAAGAAGGATATAAAGGGCTTGTAGACAAAGGCCTTTGGAAGCTATTTATTCCAACCAACCATCTCAGGAAGTAATTTTTTTTTTTTTTTTTTGAGACAGAATTTCACTCCTGTTGCCCGGGCTAGAGTAGGATGATGTGATCTTGACTCACTGTAACTTCTGCCTCTTCCCCCCGTTTTAGGCGATTCTTTTGCCTCAGCCTCCCAAGTAGCAGTGATTACAGGCACCACCATACCTGGCTAATTTTATATTTTTAGTAGAGATAGGGTTTCTCCATGTTGGTCAGGCTTGTCTCGAACTCCCAACCTCAGGGAATCCACCCGCCTCAGCCTCCCAAAGTGCTGGGATTATAGGCATGAGCTACTGTGGCCAGATTTTTTTTTTTTTTTTTTTTTTTAAGGTGGAGTCTTTGTCTCCAAGCTGGAGTACAGTGGCACAATGTTGACTCACTGCAACCTCTACCTCCCAGCAATTCTCCTGCCTCAGCCCCTGGAGTAGCTGGGGCTACAGGCGCTCGCCACCATTCCTGCTAATTTTTGTATTTTTGGTAGAGACTGGGTTTCACCATGTTGGCCAGGCTGGTCTGGAATTCCTGACCTCAAGTGATCCACCCACCTCGGCCTCCCAAAGTGCTGGGATTGAAGTGTGAACCGCTGCACCTACCCTCACCTATTGGTTCCATTTGTGTCTTCTACAGCAGTTTTGCAAAGTGCAGCCTTTTACATATATTTTTTCATGTAAATAATGTGTTTTAAACAAAATGGATATCCAGTGGACGAGGATACTGTTTTAGGTTTTGCCTGTCTTTTACTCATGCAGCTTATCTCGTTCCTTCTATGTGGAGTGTGCTGAGTAGAAAGAGTATCCGGCAGATAGGAGACTTGGCTTTGCCACCTTTTTGAGCAAGTTGCTTCACCGCATGAGCCTCAGTTTCCTGAAGGAATGAAACTCACTGTGTAGGAACCATGGTCTATTTGTTTGTTGCCAACAAATGATATTATAGGATCAACCCATCCTTGTTTTGCAGTTACATCTGGGTCAGAAACCATTTCCGATGTTTTTCCTTAATGGAAGAGTCCAATTAGGGATGAGATGTGGCTACTTTTTGCAAAGTCTAGAAAGCAAAACAGCCGTTTATTCAAATGAATATCTGAAAGTTAGCAGAAAATAAGAGGTTCAGATGCCTTGTTTTCTGGTTTTGCTTTTGCTCTGCCTTCTCTTTTGTGTCCAGTGCTTAGTGACGTGGATATTGATTTTACCCTGTGTACTAGAAGCCCTCTATAAATTGTATTTACTAAGTGGTAAAAGGTTGAGATAATAGATTGTTTTTCTGTCTTTGGCAATTAATTGTTCTCAGCTGGAAGGCATAGTTATCCCTGCAACTGAGGCCGCTGGAATTACTCTGAAAATGTATTTAAACCTTTGTATCATTGTTTGTGAACAAAATTCTTAATGCTCTTGCATGTTTTTGAGTTATGAGATTTAAGATGCTGTTTTATAAATTGTAAAGCTGAATTGCAAAAATACTGGAAATATGAAAAAACATTGAACGTACTTCCACAGTTGATATTTCTAGAGGGGGAAAGCCCTCGTAGAATGTTAACACAAAAATTGCACTTCCTTTGACCTGCAGACACTTGAAAATATGTGATTTGATTTGCCATTCAGTTTTCTGAGAAAAACGACTCTCCCTCTCCCCATCCTTTAATCACTCCCCGCCGAAAACTCACCTAAATTTCTTTTTATTTCTTTCTTTTTTCCTTTTTTTATTTTTTGAGCCAGGCTTCTGCTCTCTCACCCAGGCCGGAGTAGTACAGTGGCACCATCTTGACTCACTGCAACCTCCACCTGCTGGGCTCGAATAATCCTCCCTTCTCAGTCTCCCAAGTAGCTGGCGCTATAGATGTGCCCACCACATCCGAATAATTTTTGTATTTTTTGTAGAGACAAAGTTTTGCCATGTTTCCCCGGCTGGTCTCAAATTCCTGGGCTCAAGTAATCTTCCCACCTCGGCCTCCCAAAGCTCTGGGATTACAGGCATGAGCCACTGCGCCCTGCCAATTTAGTATTCTTAAGCTTCTAAATTCGTGCGTAGTGGCCAAGATGAATAAAATGAGCACCAAATTCTAGGCTAAAAAATTCTTTGACAATTATAGGTTAGTAGCTTTTAGGAAGTTCTAAAGTAGATCTGGTTCATGTAGGATTCCTGGGGATAAAGTCATGTGCAGATAATTAAAGAAAAGCAGGAGGGTTCATCATTTTTCTGAAATGACATATAGTCACATCTGAAATTAAGCCAAATCAAATAGCGTTTGAAAAGTGAAAAAAAAAAACAAGAACCTTAAAACTCAGAGAAACAAGAAGTGATAACAAATAACCCTGGTACCTCGAGGTGGAGCAGGATCGTGTAGCTAAATGTTTTTCCCCCTTTGGGCCCTGTCGGGAGTCACCACTGAGCCCACTAATACTTTATTTTTCCAGAGACCTCGCTTCTTTCAGACATCACACTGGCTTCACCTTCTTTCTATCTAGGCTGTAGCTGTGCCATCCAACACAATAGCCACTAGACAGTGTGGCTGCAGAGCACCCAAACGTGACTGGTTCAAACTGAGATTGCTGAGACAACGAAACACACACCAGATGACAGAGCTTAGTACGAAAAAAAGCAAAGCATTTTATTAGCAGTCGAGTCACCAATATTGATTACATGTTGAAACAATATTTTGAATGTATTTTGTGAAATGAATATATTATTAATTTTACCTGTTTCTTTTTTATTTGTTACTGTTTATCATATTTTTTTTGAGCTTCTTGTTGTGGTGTCTTTTTATTAATGTGCTTCTAGAAAACTGAAAACTTATGTATGCAGCTCTCACATTCATAATATTAGATAGCACTAGTCTATGGCTCAGCTTTCCTCATTCCAAGGCACGGAATTATGAACACAGGTGCTAGAAATCTCCCAAAGAAGATGACTGGCCACAGAGGCTGATATCCAAGACTGGTTTATGGGATTCTTTATATGATAGTTGAAGTCTTGTTTTTCTTTTTCTTTTTGTAAGATGGAGTCTCGGTCTGGCTCCAGGCTGGAGTGCAGTGGCACCATCTTGGCTCAGTGAAACCTCCGACTCCCTGGTTTAAGTGATTTTCCTGCCTCGGCCTCCTGTAACTGAGATTACAGGCATGTGCCACCATGCCCAGCTAATTGTTTGTATTTTTAGTAGAGATGGGGTTTCACCATGTTGGCCAGGATGGTCTCGGACCTCATGATCCGCCTGCCTTGGCCTCCCAAAGTTTTGGGATTACAGGCTTTAGCCACTGCATCTGGCCAGTTGGGGTCTTGTTAGGAGACAGAAACCACACTGTAATTGAACAGGGAAAGTTAAATGTAAAGAATTATTAATGTACGACATGGGATTAAATACTAAGGAGTAAAGAGAACACCAAAGAATATGGGAAGAGCAGATGTTGGGAGCAGCCGTTCCCACTAGGGCGGAGGCAGGGCACCTTAGGACAGAGTAAATTTGGAGGAAGTTCCCTTTTTTATCCTAGGGTTGAATTCCAGGCCTTGGAGAGGACACAACCTTGGCCCACTTGATGGTGAAGAAGGTTGAACAGATACCACAGGCGAGGGGGAGCCACTGTAGGGTGCCAGCAGAATTCTCTGGGAAGCTGTCCTGGGGATGCCACTGGAACTCGCTATTGGGGTGAAATAAGGCAATGTAGGAAAAGTTAGGATGTGGTCACCATACCTAAACATTCTAGATAGATGAGAATCTTTCATTTTAAAAGACTCAAGACTTCTCGGGAGTTCTGTTTTCTCCCCTCTTTATATTTTAAACAGTGAATATTACATAGCAGACGGCCAGTTTGCAGTAGAAATGCTGTGTTGTTGTTTGCTTCTTTCCCTCGTTTTCCTCATCACTTTGTTTATTCCTGGTAGTGTTCGACTACACTTACAGAGATTACATTCTGTCCTGGTATGGAAGCCTCAGCAGAGATGAGGGGCAGCTTTACCATCTGCTCCTGGAAGACTTTTGGGAAATGGCCAGGCAGCTTCACCACAGACTGAGTCACGTGGATGTGGTTAAAGTGGTCTGCAGTGATGTCGTCAGGACCTTACTCACTCATTTCTGTGACCTGAAAGCTGCAAACGCCAGGTAACTCTTAGAAGCAACTTACCCGCTTTTTTTTGCATCAATTTTTTTTTTTTAATTGAGTAAGGGGTCAAAGTCAAGATAAAACTCTAGAATATTCTGCCTATTGCTGGCACTTGCTTAAAAATGTGGATGAGTTAAGGGGGAATAATTATTGTGTTCTGATAGAGTAGTTTTTTTAACTTTCTCCTAGAAAACCACTTGATAAATATGATTAATTCTATGAATAAACAGTAAAGTGAATTTTGCTAACCAGCACTGTGATGATCTTATTTATGGTATTATGAGTATCTAGAAATAAAAATTTAAATACAGTGTTTTCTAATACGAACAGTGTGAGTGAGTATGCAGTATTTAGACATTTAAATATGGTTCATGTTTCTTTTTGTTGAGTCCTGTGTTGAGCTCTGTCGCATCACAATATCCTGAAAACTGATTTTCAAGGGTACTTAATATTGGAGCTTCTGGGCTTTAATTAGAGAAATTTAGTTATGAAAGTAGCTGATATTTAGGCTTGTTAGCCCTTTGTTACAGAAAATTTGTTAGAGAAATTTTGTTATGAAAGTAGGTAATATTTAGGCTTGTTAGCCCTTTGTATTGTTACATACATAGCAGTTGTACATAGAAAGCTGTCTAACTGAAATGGGTAGCCTTCTGCCTGTGTGCATGTGGACACGGTTGGAATGGGAATGGGAACAGTTAATGTGGCCTATTCTCACTTTCAGGGAAGAGAGAAAGTATTTAGATGATGTCACCCTTGTGCCCTGCGATGCTGCTCGTGCAGGGGACCTTGCTGCTGAATGTGGCAGTCAGCAGATCTCCATTCCCAGCTGTATTGCCCCTTCCTGTGTCTCCTCTTCCCTCCCTCAGGTTTATGAAGCCAAAATCCACACTCATGACATGACATGCCCACTGTTTCCCAGCTTGCTGCCCCAGTGTTTTGCAAATTCTTTTTAAAACTACGAAGCACTGTAAGAATTTCATTTGATATTACCACCCAGTTTCATAAAACACTACATTTGTTACCTGTGATAACTTTGACATTTTTTGTTTTTTAACATTTTAAAAAATAATATTTAAGACCAACTCCATTTTATTTTCTTTCTTAAGTCACAAACCATGGTTTGAAAAACATTCCTGTAAAGCAGTGGTTCTCAGACTTCTTGTTTCTAGGATTTCTCTACATTCTTAAAAGTTCCTGAGAACCTCAAAGAGCTCATTCCTGTGGGTTCTGTCTAATGGTGTGCTGGACTGGCTTGTACTGGCATGCACGAGTGAATTGTGCACAGGTCTTCCCAACTTTTAGTTCGGTAATATCAGATTGATAACTTGAAATGGGCCATGGTGAGAGTATTTACACCATGGACTGGGGAAATGATCCGAATCAGAGCATTTTTTTCTCAGGAGAGCCAATTGTTAAACATTTACCATTTCACCACTCATCATATCTATTGGTATTTACCATATTTGATATTTAAAAACTAAGAATTTTAAAAAGTGCAAGAATACACAGTACACTTTTCATTAGCCACAGGAGTGATGATGTCAATTCACATCATGTAGCCTGTGGAAACTACTATGCTTGGAAAAATGAGAATGAAAAAGACTAATGACCTTTTTATATTATTATAGTTTCAACATCCCAGATCCCCTGCAAGGATCTTGGCCTAGAAGACTCTGGCCTACCCTTTGAAAACTGCTTATAGAGAAAGTAACTTCCAGTAAGTAGAGAGGGGTGTGAATTAATAAGGAAAGTGAGAGAAGTAGGACTCTTGGGTTACCTACTAGAGCCTCAAATGCTTCAGCCTCTCCTTTTGAAGTGTTCAGCAACTCTGCAAACACCTGCTAATCTGCTGTGGTTTACGTTATTTAAAGTGTTCCGTAGTTCTGCCTAACAAATACCGTCAAACACTTGTTTGAATTCAGTGAAAGCTTATTTGAAAGTATTTAAATGATGGTCCAATAGAGGACAGTATTTTCTCTTTCCCTCTCCCCTTCTCTCCCCTCTTCCTTTCTCTCCCCTCTCCCCTTCTCTCCCCTCTCCCCTTCTCTCCCCTCTCCCCTTCTCTCCCCCTCCCCTTCTCTCCCCTCTCCCCTTCTCTCCCCTCTCCCCTTCTCTCCCCTCTCCCCTCTCCCCTCTCCCTTCCTCTCCCTTCTCCTTTCTCCACTCCAATCCCCTATCCCTTTCTCTCCCTTCTCCTTTCTCCCCTCTCCTCCTCTCCCCTCCTCTCCCCCTCCTCTCTCCCCTCTCCTCTCTCCCCTCTCCCCTCTCCCTTCTCCCTTCTCCCTTCTCCCCTCTCCCCTCCTCTCCCCTCTCCCCTCCTCTCCCCTCTCCCCTCTCCCCTCTCCTCTCTCCCCTCTCCTCTCTCCCCTCTCCCTTCCACTCCCTTCTCCTCTCTCCCCTCTCCTCTCTCCCCTCCTCGCCCCACGCCCCTCCCCCCTCTCCCCTCCTCTCCTCTCCCCTCCTCTCCCTCCTCCCCTCCTCTCCCCTGTTCCCTTTCCCCTCCTCTCCCCTCCTCTCCCCCTCCCCTCCTCTCCCCCTCCCCTCCTCTCCCCCTCCCCCCTCTCCCCTCCTCTCCCCTCTCCACTCTCCCTTCCTCTCCACTCTCTCCTCCTCTCCCCTCCTCTCTCCTCTCCCCTCTCCCTTCCTCTCTCCTCTCTCTCCCCTCCTCTCCCCTCTCCTCTCTCCCCTCCTCTCCCCTCTCCTCTCTCCCCTCCTCTCCCCTCTCCTCTCTCTCCCCTCCTCTTCCCTCTCCTCTCTCCCCTCCTCTCCCCTCTCCCCTCTCTCTCTCCATATATATATATGTACAATGTTTTTTTTTGGAGACAGTCTCACCCTGTTGCCCCAGCTGGAGTACAGTGGTGTGATCTCAGCTCACTGCAGCCTTCACCTCTTGGGTTGAAGAATGCTTGTACCTTAGCCTTCTGAGTAGCTGGGAGTACAGTTGTGTATCACCACACCCAGCTAAATTTTGTATTTTTAGTAGAGATGGAGTTTCACCATTTGGCCAGGCTGGTCTCGAACTGCCAACTTCGAGTGATCCACCTGCCTTGGTCTGCCAAGGTGCTGGGATTACAGACGAGCCACCATGCCCGGCCTGAGGATAGTATTTTAAATTAATGCTTATTCCATTTCGGAGACTGATGGGTTTAGATTTGGGAGAAGAGCAAGTGGTTAGAGAAATTCAGTAGTCTTATGATTATCTAATTTCAACATGAGAAAATATTTTTCATTCAGACATTTACCAGCTTTTGAAATTACTGCTTTTGTTGTTAATATAAAGATATAGATAAAACATCAGAATAATAGAAACAGAGAACTGATTTAATATTAGAAGCTCCTTCTCTTTGATCTTCTAGTTTTTTTTTTAGGCCAAGGGTAGATTTATTTTACTGGCAACTGGGCTGTGCCTAGAAGCTCTAGTTGATGATAAAAAATAAAGAACAAAATAGAGAAAAAAAATTTACCACGTTTCTCCTGGATTATGGATATTTGATAAAGTACCAGTGGGTCACTGGCATTTTTCGCATGGATGACTGTGTCTTGGAGAACTGGTATTGTCTGTGTATCATCTTATGCGAACCAGGCAATGAGACTGGCAGACAGTGAGTCCAGGTTTAATGGCGAACGTCTGTGTCTGCCTGCCCCAGGAAAATAGTGCCCTTGTCCTAGAAATCTTATTAGTGTGCAGATCTCCGCTGGCTGCAGAATGACTTGGGTAACCTGGGTAGCACCCAGTTGAATCGGCCACTCTCAGACAAACAATAATAAATTGCCTTAATAAAACGCCACATCCTCGAGTTGACTGTTGGGCAATTGTTTGTGGAGGCAGCTTTCTGGTCGGCCTGTGTTTATTTCTAGCCCGTCATGCTGTTGCTGCTTTAAGCCAATCTAGACCACACTGAATTCTTGCCTCTGCTTCCTCTTCCTTTGTCCCATCTGTCTCGCTCCAGCATGTTTTGGGAAAATCTAAAAATGATTGCTTTTATACTACTATTTCAATGGCATCTTTAATTTCATCGTTTTCTTCTTTGCTGGTCAAGTACTGGCATGCAGTTTGAGGGAAAAAATAGAATGTTTTTGTTCATGTGTTTTTCTTCTTTATCTCTGAAACGTTCTTTTTCATCTTTGTAATTTCTGATTGTGGTGTAATGTCAGGAGTTGGGACTTGAGATTGAAACAGAACAGGACTCGAGAGAGTTCTTTCTACCATTTATTACCTCTGTGACGTTGACTTCACATTCAGATCTTAATTTTCTCATCTATAGAATGCAAGTGATGATGTCCACTTTTTGGTGTAGGTGGGAGAGTTAAGTCACTGTACATTTGAAGTGCATAAAAGACTAATGTCCTTTTGCTCACTCAAGGAGTGAGAACCCAGAGGTAAGTAGTAGGAATTACAGCAAGCACACGATTGATCCACACAAGGGTGCCGCAGACTGATGTTACAGCCACTAGAAGGCCAGTAGGTGTCTCCTGCCGCAGAAGCAGCCCTACCCGTCATGACCCTTTCTTGGCTTTAAAGTAAGACTTGATGACCACTCAGTAGAGGCATAATAGGAGCATTCTGCTCAGAGTTAGTGGAGGGATTCCGGAGATCACGCTGCTTCGGCCGGCCCTCTGGCCTTTGGCCCTGACTTAGCTGTAGGAGGGAGAGGAACCTGTGGCAGTCTGAGCACCAGGCTCGTTTATTATCTGCCTTCCACTGTTAGGGAGAAGGGACTGTGTAGTCTTGAGAGGGATTTTTATGTTATTTAAATAAGTTTCTCTTGTGAAAGTAGACTTTTTCCCCTGCAACTTCCTCCAGTACTTATTAATGAAATATATATTTAAAAAAAGAATTGCCTTTAAAAGTGCCTGACATGACAAAGGAGTATCATCTTAATCTTACCGTATTGAAATATCAACCTAGTGGGCAGCAAAGCTAGAATTCAAAATCATGGAAGATGCGGCTTTAAAAAGCCAACGTCTCAGTGTATGCATACAGGCTTGTTCTAAACATTTCTTTCCATGTTGTTGGCTTTACACATTAGGATAGAATTCCTCCAGGTTGTACAAGACAGAGGAACCCTTCTTTTCTACGAGTGTATGAAAAGAAAGAACCTTTATCTTTCTTTCTAGAGTGTTCTTTTCATACACTCTAGAAACTAGTCTTCAGTCTCCAGTGCAAAAATAAATTGCAGTTAACACCTGAGAGGCATGGGTCATAAAGGCACCAATATATGCACTAGTTGCCTTTCCTTTGCAGTACCTAGTATGTTTCTCTCCTTCTGTTTCATGTTTTTTCTCAGTATTAGCTACTAGTTAGTGTAAGAGTCTCATACTTTTCCTCCTTATCTGGAAGATATTAGAAAAAGCAGCCTCCCAGGCTTTCTGGAATCACTATCAAGACACTATGGAAAGGGAAGTTTAGAAAGTTCTGTTTTCCGGTCCTCTTCATTCAGATCCTACAAATTAATGGTCCTGGGATGGAATCAGTACTGAGAGGGAAGTGCACAACCAAGATTGTCAAGACTGGCTGAAAAATACTTAGGAGCCTCACAGAAGGCAGTTTGCCAGCGAATTAGATGACACTGAGTTTATAGGCCCTCTGCTCACTAGAAATACCGGTAGACTTATCCTATGATCTCCCAGTCAGAAAGCAGGCTAGCAACCCTGGTTCACGCTTTGTTAGATTTTTTTTTTTTTTTTAAAATGAAGCTACAGATCACATTTAAGAAGACATCTAGAAGACTTAAAAATTGCCTGGTTAAAGAAATACTTGGCTGGGCTTGGTGGCTCACACCTGTAATCCCAGCACTTTGGGAGGCTGAGGCTGGCAGATCACAGGGTCAGGAGTTTGAGACCAGTCTGGCCAACATGGTGAAACCCTGTCTCTACTAAAAACACAAAAATTAACTAGGCGTGGTAGTGGATGCCTGTAATCCCAGCTACTTGGGAGGCTGAGATAGGAGAAATCGCTTGAACCCAGGAGGCGGAGGTTGCAATGAGCCAAGACTGTGCCATTGCACTCCAGCCTGGGTGATAGAGAGAGACTCCACCTCAAAAAAAAGGAAATACTCATACCTTTCAGATTGTTGCTATGATTTTGGAGTTATCTGGAACCTGTGATGCTACTGAAATTAGTTGTTATGATTTGGTTTGAAATCCCAAAGACCATGCATTTGTGTATCTTCTAGCATGAAATTTCCAGCTTAGCCTATGGTTGAGGAAATTTGGTTATTGAGGAGGTGGCAGATACTATAACCAATGCATTTCCCATTTGAAATATTTTTTACCTAGTAGGACATGACTGAATTGTTTCTAGAAATGTCTTTCCTTCTTTTTCACTCTCTTTATTTAGACATGAAGAACAGCCGAGGCCTTTTGTGTTACACGCATGCTTGAGGACCTCAGATGATGAAGTAAGATTTCTACAAACGTGTTCTCGGGTTCTGGTGTTTTGTCTCCTCCCCTCAAAGGATGTCCAGTCTCTCAGCTTACGTATAATGCTTGCAGAAATTCTCACAACAAAAGGTAGACATATACAGTTGATTTTACTAATGCGATACGTGTGCTAACTGATTGCTCCATGCTAATGTGAAAATACTTTGTCTAACACCTATGCAGGACTTGTTTACTATTGAACATACGGGATTTGAAGGATTTTCAAAATTTTGTTTATATGTCTCTCAGAGTATTTGGCCACACATGATAAATTTTTAATAGGACCTATTGCCAAATGCACAGTTCATTCTGTTGTATGTTTTGACACAGAAAACCAGTTCTTATGCTCTCCACGGGGAAGCATTCATTTGGGATAGATTTTGAGTATCTAGGCCAATAATACATTAACAAAAGGGTGTGTGTGTATAATATTTATATAATGTCCGTAGTATGCGTGTTTATATATTACATATGTGTGTATATTCAAATTCTTTTCTTTTTAAAATAGAGATGGGGGTCTCACTGTGTTGCCCAGGCCAGTCTCGAACACCTGGGTTCAGGTGATCTTCCCTCTTAGGCCTCCCAGAGTGCTGAGATTGCAGGTGTGAGCAACTGTGCTTGACTAAAGAATCAAAAGTCAGATTCTAATTAGCATATTTACTTAAAATGTCTTTGCTCTATGATTTATTGATAATGCCCATACATTATCAATAGTAGTGCGTTGCTTAACAACAGGGGTGTTCCAAGAACTGTGTCATTAGACAGTGTCATTGTGCAAATATCAGAGTGTACTTACATACCTAGATGGTATAGCCAACTATGCACAGGCAGTATGGTACAGCCTATTGCTCCTAGACTATAAACCTGTACACCATATTACTCTACTGAATACTGTAGGCAGTTGTAACACAGTGGTATTTGTGTATCTAAATGTAGAAAAGGTACAGAAAATATATGGCATAAAAGATAAAAAATAGTGCACCTATTTAGGACCCTTCCCATGAATGGAGCTTGCAGGAATGGCTGTTTCTGTGGGTGAGTGAGTGACTGAGTGGTGAGTGACTGTGAAGACCAGGACATTGCTGTGCCCCACTGCAGACTTCATAAGCACTACACACTTGAGCTACACTACATTTATTTACTATTTTATTTTCTTCAACGATAAATTAACCTTAGTTTACTGTAACTTTTTACTTTATGAACTTTTAATTTTTTAAAACTCTTTTCAGCCCAGAACTTTATATCCAGCCAAACTAAGCTTCACAACTGAAGGAAAAATAAATTTTTTTATGAGCAAGCAAGTACTCAGAGATTTTATTACCACCAGGCCTGCTTTACAAGAGCTTCTGAAAGAAGCATTACACATAGAAAGGAACAACCAGTATTAGCCTTTCCAAAAATATACCAAAAAGTAAAGAGCATCAATATAATGAAGAATTTACATCAACGAATGGACAAAACAGCCAGCTAACATCAAATGGCAGTAATCCTAAATTTAAATCGACTAAATCCCCCAATCAAAAGACACAGCCAAAACCCAACGGTATGCTGCATCCAGACCCATTTCACATGCACGGATACACAAAGACTCAAAACAAAGGGATGGAGTAAGATTTACCAACCAAATAGAGAGCAAAAATAAATAAATAAAAAGCAGGAGTTGCAATTCTCGCCTCTGATAAAATAGATTTTAAAGCAACAAAGATATAGTGGTAAAAGGATCAATGCAACAAGATGAGCTAACGATCCTAAATATGTACGCACCCAATACAGGAACACCCAGATACATAAGACCTATAAAGAGACTTAGACTCCCTAGACTCCCACACAATAATAGTGGGAGACTTAAATATCAATATTAGATAGATCAATGAGACAGAAAATTAATAAGGATATGCAGGACTTGAACTCGGATCCGGAACAAGTAAACTTAATAAACATTTATAGAGCTCTCCACTTTAAATACTCAAAATATACATTCTTGTCGGTACCACATCGCACCTGCTCATAGGTTTAAATGAAATATCGGCCATTATTAAGCACATAAAAGAGGTTTTCAATACCCATTTTTAAAATAAAACAACATTCCTGTTCTCCCTCTTTTTCTTCCTTTGTCTTCCTCTCCTTCATTCCTTTTTTTCTTTCTCCCCTTCTTTCTAAAAAAAAAAAAACTTTTGTAGTAAGTCATTTATCAGGTATTCTGTACTGTATGTAATTGTATATGCTGTATTTTTATACAGTTGGCAGTGCAGTAGGTTTGTTTACACCAGCCTGACATCATTAAATGGGAGAAAAATTTCAGCTTCCTTATAATCTTATGGGGCCAGCATCATATATTTGGTCTGTTATTGACCAAAATGTCATTATGTGGCACATGACCGTACGTAGTTTTGTGTCATTATGTGGCACATGACCGTACGTAGTTTTGGGAACTTGGACTAAATAAGATGGAACTGTACCACAGTATAATATGATTACTAGAAAAAAGTGAACTACATCGGGGAAATGCTTAGTCAGGATAAGAGAAACTTTCCCTATCTTAGTCTCAGACAAACAGCATTGCATTTGAGATGCAGTGATTATCTCATTTACTATCAGGATAAGCCAGCTGTGGCCATCAGCTATTATAACCAACCACAGAGAAAAGAGGAAGCTTCTAATCTAAAGTTTATAATACTGTCATTGACTTTTTAACTTCCTCTCTGAGGTCTGTTTTAACCAGTTTGGGAGAATGTTGACTTTCATCCTTTGGCAGACTAAGCTTGTCAAAACATGTTGAGCCTTATAAAATAAATAAAGAAGAAAAATCAGTGCACTTAATTTTTTTTTTTTTTAAATTGGAGTCTCACTGTGTCACCAAGGCTGGAGTGCTGTAGTGGCATGATCTTGGCTCACTGCAACCTCTGCCTCCTGGGTTCAAGCAGTTTCCTGTCTCAGCCTCCCAAGTAGCTGGGATTATAGGCATGTGCCACCATGCCTGGCTAATTTTTGTATTTTTAGTAGAGATTGGGGTTTTACCATGTTAGCCAGGCTAGTCTTGAACTCCTAATCTCAAGTGATCTGCCTGTCTTGGCTTCCCAAAATGCTAGGATTACAGGCGTCAGCCACCATGCCTGGCCTTCATTTTGATGGTTTCATTAGCATCTTGAGTTCCAAATGACTTCTCTTCATTATTCCTTTACATTTTACTTATTTATTAAAATGACCACTTGATTACAGTCATATATGATAACATATTTGGAGGGATAGGCAGCTGTGTGTGTGTGTGTGTGTGTGTGTGTGTGTGTGTGTATGTGTACATTTTTTGTTTATTGTATTATATAGATATGCCCCTGTTTGGCTACTTGAAAAATGTTTTCCAAAGTGATTTCAATCATGTGATAGATAAATAGTTCCCTTAAGAAGAATACCTTTCTCAGTGGCGATTTCTTCTTCCTGTAGTCTTGAAGCCGGTAGTGGAGTTACTGAGTAATCCAGATTACATTAACCAAATGCTGCTTGCCCAGCTGGAGTACAGAGAGCAGATGAATGAACATCACAAGAGAGCCTACACCTATGCCCCCTCTTATGAGGACTTCATCAAGCTCATTAACAGCAACTCTGATGTGGAGTTCTTGAAGCAACTAAGGTATTTGGTCTTCAATTATAGCACAGCCACAGCCACCAATTCTCATCCCCTGCCTAGTTAGGATAAAAAAAAAAAACAAAGTAATTGTCAGGGAAGCAGAAATAAAGAAGTCCATAAATCTTACTATTTAGTGACAGCTAAGTTTATCCAGCGTCTCCTCAACAGTGTAATTAGAATGAGTTTTTCCAAAGTATTAGGTTTTTCAAATGCAGTTGACTCTTGAACAATTTGGGAGTTGGGGGCATCCACACTCCCCTCCCACCGCCCTCACCCCCAGTCAGAAATCACACGTAACATTTGACTTGGGCCTGACATGGGGGCTCATGCCTGTAATCCTAGCACTTTGGGAGGCCAAGGTGGGCAGATCACTTGAGGTCAGAAGTTTGAGACCAGCCTGGCCAACATGGTAGAACCCTGTCTCTACTAAAAATACACAATCAGCTGAGAATGGTGGTGTACACCTGTAGTCCCTGTAGTCCCAGCTCCTTGGGAGGCTGACACACGAGAATCACTTGAACCTGGGAGGCTGAGGTTGCAGTGAGCCGAGATCTTGCCACTGTCCTCTAGCCTGGGTGGCAGAGTGAGACTCCATCTCAAAAAAAAAAAAACTGACTCTCCAAATACTTAACTACTAAATACCTTACCGTGGACGGAAGCCCTGCCGACAACACGAACAGCTGATTAGCACATATCTTGTATGTTATATGTATTGTATACTGTGTTCTTATAATACGCTAGAGAAAGGAAAATGTATTTATTCAGTAAGTGGAAGTAGAACGTCATCTCTTCACATGGAGTAGGCTGAGGAGGAGGAGGAGGAGGAGGATAAGGAGGGATTTGTCCTGCTGTCTCGGGTGGCAGAGGCAGAACAAAATCCTGTGTAAGTGGACTCATGCAGTTCGAACCTGCGATTTTCCAGAGTCAGCTGTAATGAGGTTGTAATAGATTGAAAGCTCTTCAGATCTCAGGGGTACCTGCTTAGCTGCTCAGATGACTACCTTAGAAAAGCATTGGAAGGACATCAGGAGAGGATGTATTTTTAAAGTACAGAGAAGAACATTGTGTTGGTTTTCATTTGTCTTGGACAACACAGAGGCTCAGGTTTGGGAATAAAAGGTTCTAGATTAATTATTTTGAGAAAACACATTTGAAAATACCATAGGAGGGTAAGGCACGATGGCTTAAGCCTGTGATCCCAGGACTTTGGATGACCGAGATGGGTGGATCACAAGGTCAGGAGTTCAAGGCCAGCCTGGCCAATATGGTGAAACCCCTGTCTCTATTAAAAATACAAAAATTAGCCAGACCTGGTGGTGGGCACTTGTAGTCCCAGCTGTTTGGGAGGCTGAGGCAGGAGAATTGCTGGAACCCGGGAGGCGGAGGTTGCAGTGAGCCAAGATCACGCTGCTGCACTCCAACCTGGGCGACAGAGTGAGTCTCCGTCTCAAAAAAAGAAAATACCATAGGAATATCTTCTATAGGGAAGTGCAGTGTCTCTTGTTATACCTGAGATATTTTAGGGTGTGTGTGTGTTTGTGTTTTTTAAAGTAGTATATACACATTTAGTGTGATTGTATAGTATTATCTACTTTGTAAATTCTCTAGGCTTCTGTTTCTCTACTTCCCCTTCGGTTTTAATGTTCCCAAATGATAATACATGAGAAAGAAACAAAACTCTTAAATGTCTGTTTTGCTTTTCATTAATAATTTTGGTAAATACCTAATGAAAAAGTAAAATATTGGTTGAAATTGGGTGTTTGAATTAGTTGGGGTTTTTAAACTTGTCACATTTGCTCCTGAACTAGGGTTAACATTAAGATGACCTATGCTGTTTCGTTTTCTGATTTGAATAAAATACCATCTAAGGAGGCATATCTTGTAGAAGGCACTGTGTTCTTCTACATGGTGTCATATGTTAATCTAGGTGTCACAAATAGATAATGATGGGTTCAATTTACAAATATATATACCTCAAATACATAATGACAGGTTCAATGTAAGTGGCTTTGTTTACCAGTCATTTAATTTTGGGCATATATATATGTGATAGACTATCTGGAGATTTTATTTATGTTTCTCTTGCCATGGATAATTTTGAGTAGGCTAAATGATATTCATTATAGATTTGTTTTTGTTTATGTCTGAGTCTAGACATTTCTTTTTGGTAAGCATGACACTTGAACTGTAGAGAACCCAAGAGCCATATCACACCACTGCACTGCAGCCTAGGTGACAGAGAGAGACCCTGTCTCAAAAAAGAAAAAAAAAATCACTAATTATTTTGAATGATCTACTACTGGTTCTCTAGCACCATCTGTCATTTTGTATCTTAACACAGTTCCTGTATTATAAGATGAATGAATCTTGATAAGCATGAATGGTTTATCTTCTTCAAAGATTCGGAACTATTTAAGTACTATATACAGTTCATCATCTGGTACATAAAGAAGTAGCTCAAAAAAGGAGCAGCTCAGCAAGTGTTGCCCTTTAAACCATAAAACCATGGCTGGGCACAGTCTAGGAGTTCAAGACCAGCCTGGGGAACATGGCAAAACCCCATCTCTACAAAAGAAAAAAAAAAAACTAATACACTATGGTGTACATGCCCCGGGATGATTGAACAGCTTACTTTTTTTTTTTTTTGAGACGGAGTTTCGCTCTTGTTACCCAGGCTGGAGTGCAATGGCGCCATCTCGGCTCACCGCAACCTCCGCCTCCTGGGTTCAGGCAATTCTCCTGCCTCAGCCTCCCGAGTAGCTGGGATTACAGGCATGCGCCACCATGCCCAGCTAATTTTTTGTATTTTTAGTAGAGACGGGGTTTCACCATATTGACCAGGATGGTCTCGATCTCTCGACCTCGTGATCCACCTGCCTCGGCCTCCCAAAGTGCTGGGATTACAGGCGTGAGCCACCGCGCCCGGCCCCTGAACAGCTTACTTTTATTGTAATGGGAACATCATGGATTTTCTTAACTTGATTGGCCAAAGATTACACTGAAGTTCTGATTTTACATTTTCCCTTTCCCTTCTAATATGTGATGAAACAACAACAGTGTGAGCCTTTAAATCTTTCTCAAAGATCACTTCCTCTTGATGTCATTATGGGCAAGATTAAAGGGATAGCACCCTGGGTACCCTGGGAAGCAGACCCTTTGGTCTCGGGCGCTGAGGGACTTAGGAGGCCGTAGAAGTGCTAAGCTGAAGAATGCCTTTTAAAAAATGAGATCTAATTCACTTTCCGTAGAATTCACCGCCTTTACATTTACAATTCAGTGGTTTTAGTGTATTCAGACACTCTGTGGCTGTCACTACTGTCCAATTTCAGAATGTTTTCATCAGCCTGAAAAGAACCCTGTGCCCACTAGCAGTCACTCCCCACTCCTTCCCTCACCAGCCTTGGCAACCGCAAGCGTGCTGTCTCTGGATCCGCCTGTTCTGGACACTGCATGTAAATGGAATCACGCAGTATGTGACTGTGCCTGCTTGCTTTCGCTTATTATGTTTGCAGGGTTCATTTGCACTGCGGAATGTATCATTGCTCCATTCCTATTTTTGGCTGAGTAACATTCCATGATATGAATATAGCACATTTTGTTTATCCATTCATCCGTCCATAGGCGAGTTGGATTGTCTGCCATTTAAAGGATGCTTTTTGAGTGACCATTGAGCATCTTCAGTGGCATTATCAAGGACGGTTGATAAGTGAGACTAAAGTAACCTCCTCCTAGTATGGCCTCCTGCCATGCTGTACCTACTGCCGCCAAGGAGTGATGGTTCACAGGCACCAGGAAGGTGCATTCCTTTTGTGCGCCATTCCCATTCTGTGTGTTGTATACGCCGCCTCCATCTTCCACCTTATCACTAGGCTTTGCGTTCTAGCAGAGCTGCGGAGTCAGTGGGAGGGGCACTTGGAGGTACTTGGATTAGATAATGGAGCTTGTCAGGTGACTAGTGGATTAGAGGCAAAAGGAATACATTCTCAGATTTAATTAGGTTGGATCCTTTTTTTTTTTTTTTTTCCTGAGACAGTCCCACTCTTGTTGCCCAGGCTGGAGTGCAATGGCCCGATAACGGCTCACCACAACCTCTGCCTCCCAGGTTCAAGTGATTCTGCTGCCTCAGCCTCCCGAGTAGCTGGGATTACAGGCACGTGCTACCATGCCCAACTAATTTTTGTATTTTTAGTAGAGACGGGGTTTCGCCATGTTGGCCAGGCTGGTCTCAAACTCCTGATCGAGGGTGATCTGCCTGTCTCGGCCTCCCAAAGTGCTGGGATTACAGGCGTGAGCCACCGTGCCCGGCCAGGTTGGATCCTTTTATAAGCGATCTCAGCTCACTGCAACCTCTCTGTTGGGTTTAAGCAATTCTCCCATTGAACTCCTGGCCTCAAGTGATCTGCCTGCCTCAGTCTCCCAAAATGCCAGAATTACAGGTGTGAGCCACTGTGCTCAGCCTGGAGCTGCTTTCTTAATTCATAGACTGAGCTATCCTGTTGTTTTGTGGTACTATTATAGTACTCTGCTATCTGACTTTATTGGTGTTTTACGTTACTATCTTCAAATTGCTCTCAGCAAAATTTTGGGGTAGGCTGCCTAAGGCAGGCGATGTGTTAGATTAAGTAGTTGATGTACCCATCCACTTTTATTTTTTACATATTTGAGAGATGCATATTTTCTAAAGGAAATAAAGTCATTCAACTCTGTTAGGCTGGAACACACTAAAAACAGAACAAAAAACCTTGAAGGTGATGCTTGCTGTTCTGGAAGAGTCTGGTTGTTTTCTGAATCAGCGTGAAGCGCTTTCACAGAAGAACCAGAAATGCATCCTTCAAAGTTACTAAATTAGCGATTTAAACCTTGGCTGGATGTTAGAACCACGGAGACCTTTTAAAAAGTAAGTTGTATATCCCACTGTCCTTTGTAGCTTTTCTTTTTCCTCTTCTGGATGCAGAATGTTGAAGTGAAGATGTGGCTATACTAGTGTGATATTTTTACTTTTC